CAGCCATATCAAAACTTGATTGATATCATTAGCATAAGGAGCTCAGAACACTTGCTAATAATCACACTTGTTACCCTTGGCGGTAACGACAGCGAGGCATCGCTTTGGCATCGATTTGATGAGCTTCTTGAGGTAGTCCATGGGAATGCTCTCCCATGCACGCTTGATGGCCGCCATGAGGTCTTGAACATTCACATATTGCTTGCCATTGGGGTAAACTTGACGGACCAAATACCCCCAAAGGTTTTCAATGGGATTAAGGTCTGGGGACAGGGCAGGGTGCTCGAAAATCGTGACATTTTCGTCCTCCAAAAACATCATTGTGGCCTTCGAACGGAGAATAGATGCATTGTCTTGCATGAAAACAAAATCTGGACCATAATGCTCAGGAGCAAATGGAAACAGATAGTTGCAGTGCGAATCGGTGTACTTGTCGGAGTTCTGCTTGCCATCCAGGAAGGCCAACTACGCCAAACCAGCACCCGAAAACGCACCCCAAACCATGACATCGCCACCCTTGCTTGCGCGAGAGAAGTACGAGGCGGGTTCCTTGCGAAGATCTTCCCAGTAGTACTGAAGTCCATCCGGTCCGTCGAGATTGAATTCTTCTCGTCAGACCAGATAACATCAGTCCAACTGGGTGGATCTTCCAAGTGACCCTTCGCGTACTTCATCCGCGCAGTCTTGTGGGCTTCCTTGAGAAAAGGCGTGTGCTTGCGTTTCTTGTACTTGAGATACCCACATGCTTTGAGTCTGCGCTGACAAGTTCTTATTGAGCCCTTGAGCTGGAGGGCCGAGTGAAGTGCCCGAGCGAACGTTCCAGTTGACGCCGCCTCTTGATAGAGGCGACGGCACTCTTGTTGGACTATCAACTTCATCTTGCGGCCTTTGTGCTTCTTGCCGTAGGCGTCTGGGGTCATTAGGTACGCTCGTACGGTGTCCTTGGAGCATCCAAGTGTCGTACCAATTGCGCGGTACGACATTCTGTTGCTTCGGAAGATTCGAGCCGCAACTTTCTCTTCGATGGAAAGGAGGGGTGCACTTCCCATTCTGTCAGTTTCAACTAGTACGGCATGAGTGGCATCATCAATTTCAATGACTTACGGGGTTGTTTGTGTTCGAAAGTGCGGTAAAGAGAGCAAAATGCGTTATGACCTACAAATCTATGCCGCATCATGAAATGTGCTTTCCCGCCATATCGCAATCAAATTTTGCGCTATCAAA